ACTAGCTGTGTGACTTTAGGCAAACCAGATAACCTCTCCAAACTTCAGTTTTCTTATCTGGAAGATAGGGGCAAGAGTGCCAGTTTTGCCCTGACTGGTTTGGCTCAGGGGATAGAGCGTCGGGCCATGGACTGAAAGCTCCCGGGTTCGATTCCGGTCAAGGGCATGTACCTTGGTTGCAGGCTCGATCCCCAGTAGGGGGCGTGCAGGAGGCAGCTGAGCGATGTTTCTCTCATCGATGTTTCTAACTCTCTATCCCTCTCCCTTCCTCTCTGTAAAAAGTCAATAAAATTATATTTTTTAAAAAAAGAGTGCTAGTGTTGGGTGTGAGGGCCCGATGTAATGTGTATAAGGCACTTAAAGTGGAGCCTTGGTTCTTGAACTTAATTCATTTGGGAAAGCTTTTCCAGAAGTGAATTGTTCAAAGACCAAATCATTTTTCCCATTATAAATAATGTAAATTTTGTTGTTAATCTTCACCCAAGGATACTTTTTCCATTGATTTTTTTAGAGACTGGAAGGGAGAATGAGAGGGAGGGAAGAGAGAAACATTTGTGTGAGAGAGACACATCAATTGGCTGCCTCCTGCACATGCGCCAACTGAGGCTGGGTAATGAATGAACCTGCAACCCAGGTACATGTCCTTGACTAGAATCCAACCTGCGACTCCTTGGTTCGCAGGCTGAAGCTCTAACCACTTAGCAGCACTGGCCAGGGCAGAAATGTAAATTGAATTAATCCATTCCTGACTCCCAAATGATTGTTTTAACCTTTCTCATACACAGTACATGTTTAATGTACTGTTCAATCTATAAACACTTTAAAGACAAAAAGGACATGAAATGTAAATGAAAATTTAACAAAAAGGAAATGAAATGTTGTACAGCAAAAAATGAAAATTCATGTACACAGTAAGACCTTTAATATAATAAACATGAAAATATTTGCAACACAATTTCCTGAGATGTTGAAAACACAAGGTTTAGCAGTAAACTGACTCATATGCATGTATTCTCTCCTTTGCCCCCTGAGAGATGCGTGACTGATCATACGAGTATCATCATGAAAGGGTTGTCAGGTCAAGAACTGAAGTTTTTTTCGACAGCCAAGACATTTTTCGTGAACAACTTGGTTGAGAAATGAATTGTTCAAGATAGGAGCTGTTCAAGAACCCAGGTTTGAGTGTACTTCTAAAGATGCTCAAGTGTTAAGAGCAAGCATCATGTGGCAAGCAATAGCCAGAGGCTGACTCCCATGAGTCTGTTTCCTGGGAGAGGAAGGTGGTGGAGAAGTCTGTTAGGAAGTGGAGGAAGTGGTGGAGTGGTGATACAGGGCTGAGGGCCTGGCAGAAGTTCATGCAGCTGGTGGCTGCAGTCTGTAATTGTGTGTCTTTTCTCATCAGAGCTCTTTGGTCCTGGTACGGGCTGGAGTTTTGTAGGCCAAGTGAAAAAGGAAGCAAAAGGGCAACAGGATTGAGGGGATGGAGATGAAGAATGGTTGAAGTGACAGCATAAAATCTAAGGCAGATACAGAGGAAGGGCCGGGAGGGGCTGAGAGAATAACCTGGAGCAGTCAGTGGACTGAAAGGCAAAGAATGAACTCAGTGAGAATATGTAGGACCAAGAAGGCATCATTAGAGGACAGGTGAGTCTAGATGCTGCAAAGGTCCAGGGTTTGCTGAAGTGGAGCAAGCAGAGGAGGAGGGTATTGGAGATGTATCATGGTCTCTTCCTATGGAGAAAAGCATATAAGCCAGTGCTCAAGTCTTGAGTGAATTGGGAGGCTTGTCCCCTCAGGGCTCTATCCTTTCCCAGGGTTTCAGGAAGCAGAGGGGTGCCATCTGAATTCCCCACCCAACCCATTTTCTTGGGACGCCAGATGACCAGGTGAACTCTTCATTGTTTTAAGGGTTGCTCATTTTCCCAGGGAAACACAAGGGGATGTTCCACATTCATTAAAGTGCTCATAGTTTCTTGCTGATAAGTTCTGATCCCCACTAATATCCTATCTAATAAAGAGAGAATATGCTAATTGACTGCCCCATACTCAAAGATGGTGGCGCCAACAGCCAATAAGGAGGGAATATGCTAATTGACTGCCACGCCCAAAAAGATGGTGCCCACAGGCAATAAAGAGGGAATATGCCTATTGACTGCCCCACCATCAAAGATGGAGGCGCCCACAGGCAATAAGGAGGGAATATGTTAACTGACTGCCCCTTCCTCAAAGATGGCAGCGCCCACAGCCAGTAAGGAGGAAATGATGCTATTTGACTGCCCCACCTTCAAAGATGGTGGCACCCACAGGCAATAAGGGAATATGCCTATTGACTGCCCCACCCTCAAAGATGGTGGCGCCTACAACCAATAAGGAGGGAATATAATAATTGAATGCCACGCCCTGAAAGATGGCAACACCCACAGACAATAAGGAGAGAATATGTTAACTGACTGCCCCTCCCTCAAAGATGGCAGCACCCATAGCTAATAAGGAGGAAATATGCTAATTGAATGCCACACCCTCAAAGATGGCAATGCCCACAGCCACAAGATGTCAGCGCCCAGTCCCCTTCGCCCCGCTGGTGCTCCGCACGTTTGCCTCCAGTGTCTTCCAGTCCCTTCAGCTCCCCAGCTGCCCAGGGCTGGCCCGAGACGTAGGCGAGCCTTGGATGTTGGCTGCCCAGCCACCCAGGGTCACCTAAGGCACAGATAACCAGGGCCAGCCGAGGCCTGTGCTGACGGCAGTGGCAGCAGCAGAGGTGTGATGGGGGCATCACCTTCCCCTGATCGCCGGGTCACCTCCCGCCCCTGAGGGCTCCCAGACTGTGAGAGGGGGCAGGCCAGGCTGAGGGACCCCCCTTCCAGTGCATGAATTTTCATGCACCAGGCCTCTAGTAGTAAATATAACCCAGGGGTTCTGCCCTTTGCTTTTATTGCCCTGGGCCTAAGGCTCATCAAAGACTACTGCCCTCTCCTCCCAACTCTACCTTTAGCTGAAATGTGGTTTGACTAAGTGCTCATGTTCTGGTGACCCATCATGTAGGAGCATACAAAGGAACCTTTCTCACTGGACCTCCAGTGCTGTCCTGCAAAAACCATGGGTGGGTGGGTAGGTTGAATAGCTCGAGAACATGAGCCCCAGAGATGTGTAGCAATGATCTAAAAGCTGCAACCTGTGCCCACCCCATCCCCCTCACTGAAGTCCATGGGCCCAAATGTGCAGCCTTCCAAATAAGCACTGTCCCCAAGGAGGGAGGCCCAATGGTGGATATCAGCCATTGAGGACATAGCAGTGTTCAACAGGGGCCCGGGGCTCTACGAGGCACAAGATAAGGGTAGTCAACAAAATAGAGATTGTGATGATTTCTCCATTGATACCCTTCAGCCACAGTGCTCTTTCTACCCCCCTCTCCCTGGTCAAAGATGATCAGTTTGCCCCTGTTAAGGGATGGCAACATCTGGGAAGTGCTATTTTGGGTCAGAATGGGTTTTTGTTGTTTTTAATTGGATCCAAACACTGTTATAGGTCTGTTTTGTCTTGTTTGTAATTTGTGTTCCATGCAATTGCATGGAACTGAGTATGTCCTTGAAGAAAGAAAAAAATTCAGGTTTTAGGATCAGTAGTAACACCTTACAGCAATTACACTGGGTAGAATAAAATGACAGGAGGCAAGTTATTTATATGCTACTTTTATTTCTGTAAGGATACACTGAAATGTTAGATGATATTAGCTAATGACAAAATGTAGAAATGAGGCATCGGCTTCTCTAACCATAGCTACAAGAATGTTAATATGTATTGTCATTACATGTTCACTTTGATATCATCTCATTTTATTATGTAATATAACAATTAGATAGAATACAGTAAGTAGGTGATCTGGCATCTCAGGTAAGCACTACATGGAAATCTGCCTGTGAGGACAGTGACCTCCCCAGTCCCCCAGAAATCAATCTAAGCTCTTGAGGAACAGTCCTAAGAATCACAAGAGACATTGGTGAGCCTCTTTAACAGATCAACAAAAGAACAACAACTATTATGTTACAAGGGATTCAACTTGCCACTGTTTGGAAATGTCACATCCATGTCAATGACCGTCCTGACGCCTGCTCAGCTACCCCTCTAGAGATTTATGGTTACTTCTACAGGATGACTTCAAACTGCAGGAACGTTCGAGGGGGCTAAAATGTTTTCATGCAAGTCTCCAAACCCATAGTCTATGTTGTTATTAATTAAAACAAAATATTATTAATTAAACACACCCAGCAGCTGGGTTAGTTTTGTTAAGCTTCCAGAAGTATTCACTGTGACGATGTTCCTCTGAAACAGGCTCGTTCTCTCAGATCTGCCTACACTTTCCACATCACCTGCATGTTCCATGCTTGAAAGTAGGAACGTTCAGAAAACACGGCACACGGGGAACTCAAATGTTAGTACAGGGGGAAAGGTCAGTTTAGCATCACAGCTAAGTTCAAATGTTAATTTTCTAGAAATTCATATTAGTCGATCAAAAGCACAAAAGAACAGAAGGAAGGTTTTGATGAAGTTAAACCATGCATTTCGTAAATTCTCTTTCTGCTCACAGATCACAGGGTGAGCAACGAGTTGAAGCAGCCGCTACAACTCTTGTGTGTCGTGTGATGACACGGTGGGTCCCAGCTGAGTCACGAAGGGCATCTCAGTGGGGGCTTTATTTCTTAGGCTTGTTGCTTACATCACTAAGCAGCTAAATGGTTAGCACTTTTCTGCTCTATGATAAACATGCAGAAGAGTCAATCTAAGTGTTCATTTTTTAATGCAGCCATTGCAAAATTAACTTTGCTGCAGAGTTGGTTTTGCTAAATTCTAGAATGATCACTGTGCCCTTATTTGAGTAATACTGTAAAATGGGAGAAAAGACAGGAACAACTTTGAAGAGGTGAAAGGCCGCTC